AAATTATGATGTGAGCACTAAAAGCACTGAGCAGTGAGGCAGTAAATAAGTTATATTTCACCTTTTTTTTTTTCAAACGTTGAGCGTTGAGCGTATATTGCCATAGTTCGGTCCAGTAAATTTGAGAAGGGGTTGATTTCCTGGTCAAGCTTGTCGTCATGTTTTGTTCTTTTACTTATTCGTTCAATGATCTATACAGCGTTACGTGGCCAAATATATATTAGTAGGTGCATTATCTAGATAGCTCTTGATTGATTTTTAGGCCATTATTACATACATACATATGTATATATATACGCTCCACGTTTTAAAAGCGTAAGCCCCTGTGGCAGAACGTAATGAGAGTTTAGCCTGAATTTCTGAAGGCATGACTATTTTTAAAGAAAGATTAATATTGTTTTTTTGAAAAAAAGGAAAGAGTACAAAAAACAAATCTTATTCGTCGGCAATAGGAAGATAGAAACTATCTAACACCTCGATTGTTTTCATGTTTGTTTTTAATTTATTTTTGAAAGTAAAATCAAAACAAACATCAAGTCAGTCATTCCTGATTCTTCATCATGTATTCATCAGCACATAACTCACAACTACAAGTCACACCCACTGATTCTTCACCGTATTTTTAAAACAATTTAACTAAGTGGTCAAAAGTTATAGTGTTATACTGGTACAATGTTGTTTCGCTTTGAAAAAAAAACATTTTTTTACTACGGCCTCCAGCAGTTCAGATGCCGAAAAAGGTCACAGATGTTCACAGACCCAATAATATCACAATGTATTTAGCTATTATGATATATTTTTTAAATTGAAATGTTAAAATATGTATATTTATTTGTTATCAGTTGGCTAGTAGCATGTAACATTTTGTTTAAAAACAATTAAATTTCGAAATGTTTTTTTTTAATGTATTTTTAGGACGCTCAGAGAGAGAATGATTATTTTGCCAAACTTCCGAAGTGCCGTGGGCTGAATTTCTGAAGCTGTGAAAACTACTATTACTGTATATAAAAAATTCAAGTCATACTGTACACTGTACTGTGTAGTACACACAATATTTTTATATATTACATTTTTGACAATTTTGCTTTGCTCTCGTAATCTCGTTTGATTTTTCATTTTTCCTTCGTTGTTTTGTTTGTTTTGTACTTTGTCCTACGGACGTTAGTCCGTTCACGTTGTGGCAATTTTTTCTTTCTCTCTCTCAGTACTAGTCAGTAGTAGAGAGGGCCATGTTTTGTATCTTTCCTTCTCTCTCTTGTGTGAAGTAAATCAAGTAATGAGTAGTAAGTAGACTCGCGTAGAGTCACTGTCTATAGTGTGGAGTTGCAGTCTATTTTGTTATGCTCATAGAGTCTAAAGAGAGTAATACGAGTCAACAAACTCCTTTTCTTTTTGTCTTTTTTGAAAACGTATAAAATCAAACAAAATATTATATATTATCGTCGATTTCAATGACAGTTTCTCCTTTTTTTTAAACAAAAGAGCAGCAGAGAGTCAGAGTCCAGAAACTCAGAGTTTCAGGAGTCAAGACTCAGACACCCTACGACAGACGTCAGACAGACCACGTGTCCACGTACGTCGGGCAGTCGACACTCATCAGACGACATTCACAACTCCTAACTCTTAACAGCTGGCCTGGTAAACGACAAGGATATGTCTTTGTATCAAACCAGTTTATAGCCCGTCGCGAACTCGCGATGTGTCTTCTTATTTGGCCAGTATCTCGAGTTCTCGACGTATATCGGACTTCTGACTGCAATAAAAAATATATCGCCAGCGTATGTCGGGGTATGTAACAAACTAGCAATCCAGTTTCCGACAGTCTCACTGTCGACTCTCGAGTCTCGACTCTCGACACGCGGCGCTCTAATAGTAGAATAGAGAGACAATGAGTGCCACTGCAAACACACACACCACTTTCCACCTCCCAGTTGCCAACTTCTTGCCAGTTGCCACCTGACCGAGGAACACACACAAGTAAACGTAAAAGTGCATATTCAACGCTTTAATACACGTATTTAGTATTTTAGGAAATACAAATATATGTACATAATTAAAATTAGGAATATTATTATTTTTTATAAAACATGCCATATGTATGAAAATTATATGGCATATTTATTTCATATTTCATATTTTGCTAAAAATATATATATTTCGTGCATGCTTCATATTTATTCTTTTTCCAAAAATATATATGTTACATATTTATTATTTCTCTTCTATACTTTCCTCATATTTATTATTTCGCCTATATTTCCACATATTTAAATACTTCATTTTACAGTGTATTGGCATAGCTTGCTAATTAGTATGTGTGACGATAGTTGATACTAAAAGTTAAAAACACATTGATAAACAGTCCTTGTGTATGCATAACACTTATGCACAACGTAGCATAGTAATCTACTAAGTATGAACATATATATAAAGCTTACACTTGGTTTATGTACACTAAAAAGGTAAAAGATTTATATAATAAATAAATCACGAGTTATATGACATCTAAACACATTTTTGCAATGTCATTATTCTGAGTCATAGAACTCGACAGAGATCATTTAGCAGTGAAGCAGGAAGATGTACAGATTAAGCTGCACTTGAATACTATGCACTGGGGTGGCATATTTGGGCATGTGGGCTTATATTGTCACTGTACATAAGTCAAATAAACTAACAATCTTTGTGTTGACTTGTGTATATAATATATATGATTGCTTGTCAGTATTTCAACACCACAAGAATATAAAACTGAATTGATTTTTTTTTGCCACCTTTTTTTGTTCGAAAAATCAAGCAATTTTCAAATTGGTAACAATTTGCCACCTTATTTGCAAAAGGTGGTCAACATGCATCGCGCGGAAACAGGTTAAATTGCAACTAACGCTATACTACTGGTACGATAGCTCTGAAAGTGGAAACATAGCTTAAGGGCAATACTGTTGATAGGTGTGAACAATTATTTGTATGCCTGTGAATTACAAAGTTCACAATGTCCCTTCTGACAGGATATGTGACAAGTGTGGATTATGTCGTCTGTGACCAGGATGCGCTCAGGAGACAAAATATCGAACTGGCATGTATTGTGAAAAAGCATTTTTCGGGTGTCACCCGACTACAATAGTGTCAAAAAGAGTGTCCAACATGTGGATTTGTTATTTTTGATGTTATTTCGTCCTCTTTGGTATAGTTCAAATTACAGGGTCTTTCATGCATACTTGCGAAGTTACACAACTATATATATAAACACATATGTCCATGAAAACACATATATATATACATATATATACATATATATATATATATATA